CTGATTCATTTTTCCGCGTTGTAGATTTTAGAATATTTTCCATAGAAACACAACGAAAAAAGGGTATTTTCATGATTTTTTCGTATTTTTTAAATTTAATATCAGTTAAACCTCGACCGGGTGAATTCTAAAGTGTTTTTTTCAAGCCGGTTTTGAATATAATCCTTATTCTCTCTTGTACGGTTTTAAACGTAGACCTCTACCCAAATCTATTGCTTCCATTTTCTCGTTATGTCGTTTAGCTTCCTCTCATTGACGTTTGGCGTTTCTAGCGTCATTCATTGTTTTTGCAATGTCAGCAGCACCACCTGCACTTGAACCTGCAAATAGAGGTCTAAGAGGTAAAACACCTTCCACTCTTGACAACATTGGTATAATACGTGGAACTTCAATTTTCTTTTAATTTCCGCAAGCATCGCGAACAGTCTTTCGTGCAACAGCTAATACAGATTTAATAGGATCTGAACTGGAATTTGCCATAAGCTTTGCTGAATTAAGAATTTTAAGCTAATGTTTAGCTCCCTTGTTCTTTTTGTTTTTCTCTTTAAAACCCATTTCCACTTTTAATTCAACTTCCGTGAGGTTGGGAATTCCTAAAGCAGCAATCGGTTCAGCAATATTTGTGTCTTTCGCAAAAATGCGTTTCATGGATTTCTCAGCAAGTATTATATCAGCTGCGTTTTTAGTTTCCATGTTATCTCGATTTTGCAAATAGACAATATCATGTTCTTTACAAGCAGCGTCCAATGGATTGATTCCTGGTGCTCCACGTGCTAATCTCGCCTTTAATTTAGTTCTTAACTTGTATTTAGTATCATTCAACCAACCTAAATATCATTATTTAAAAAAAAATATAATTCATCTTCAATTGATTTATTAAAACAAAAATTGTTCCTTCTCTTTTGTATTCGCAACATTATCATTTTATAAAAGCTATATAACAAAATTGTTATAAATTCAACATGATCTATTCGAACATATTTCAGCAATAAATATCAGTGCTCTGCAGTGGTCTGGGTGCGATCCGAAAGGTCCACACGACCAACTTTCCAGTGGAAAAAATGAAAAAACAATTCGAATAGAACCCGTTTCCATTCTTTATAACAAATGGAATTGTTATAAACGAAATGAGTCTGTTTTTATTCATTTGATATGGTTGAATACTTTATTTCAGTAAAAAAAAAAATTTTCGTTAAAAGTACTCATATATATAGAAAGGATCCCTATTTTTATTGATTATAACAATTCAAAACTTATTATTGAAATGTTACTATGATCAATAATCACTTGTTAGTAACAATGTTCAATTGTTATGGACACAATTCCATATTATTGACAATTATTATTGACTATTATAGCATCTTTAATGCTGTTTGCTCAATCCTGACACGAGTTTAAAATTCTTTCATTGCTGATTTTGTTTTTTAAAATTTTTTTTTTGATGAAATATTGTCACCATATTTTCATAAAAGTATTCTAATTATTTAATATTCAGTTTTTTTAAAGTGTTCGAAATTTTGTCAAAAAAATGGTATAATTTATAAATTGAGAAATTCAGGTCATTTTCCATTTTTGCTAGTTTTTTGGTTCTGCAAAAAAAATGGCTGAACCGATTTTCCTGAAAACTTTTTCAGTTTGATGTTACGTAATTACGCGTCGAATGCAATTGGTCCCACATCGATATCATTTTTTGTTCTCGAGATAATCGAGGCGAAAAATAATTCCGAACGCACATACCTACACACCCACATACGCACACACACACAGACGTCCACTGGAAAACGATCGTATTTAACTCTGGGGACCTTAAAACGTGGAGATATGTCAAAATTCGGGATTCGCAAAATCGGACCTATTACTATAACTTCCAACTGGGAAGTTAATAAGTGAACTAATTGGAAGTATTAGATTTTATGCTTTTAATGAACATGAGGAAGTGGTAAAACCGGGTGCAGCAAAACCCACCTCAATGATGATTTTCATTGACGTAGCATACGAAAAACAAGATAATATGTGAACCTATTTTTGTATAGGACAACATAGAGATATCGACTGCTTCCATCTTTGCCAAACTCATTTACGAATTCCTAAACATTTAGTGACTGACAATACAAACTTTTTTGTACTTTTTAGGCAAGATGACATGAATCTAAAACACACTACGATGATCATGTAAATACTGACATGACTTAGTCTTATTTTCGAGAAATATATGTGCTGGAATAATAATAAATATGGCTTCATGGTTATTGATGAAGACAGTGATCGTAAAAATAGGCGATATAGAGAAGGACTTGATGGCTTTATAAGTATAGATTTATCGTGATGCAATACGCCAAAAACATAAATTAATTAGACTTGGAAGAGATATGACTCAACAAACCATGACTGAAATATTTAAACCTATGGTGATTTCTTTTCAACAATTAGCTAATAAAACACTTCTTAGAAAGGAACCTCAAGAAAAAAAAATGAAGAAAGAAAAACCTCAAGAAGAAGTTAAAAGCAAGCAAAAAAGCCTCATACCTGATTATGAAATAACTGATGACGAATTTTATAATATATATCTAAAAGTGAGGGAAGTGTACCCCAATATATGATTGAACATAAACAAAACCATCCTATCGATTACATTTATTGGGATGATCCCAATGAACTTGTAGATCAACTTCGTTTACTTATTGCATTTCAAGCTGCTGAAAATTTCAGTCATACTAACGAAATTTCCAGCTGTTGACAAAAGTCAACTTTAAGTTAACCGAACCGTTTGAGGATAAGGATGAGTGTGCTGGATCAGAGCAATTAGGAAAGTCAGGTTTTATGAAAAATATAATGTTCTTTATTTTAGTACTAACAATGAACCACATACACTGTACAACTTGTTGCATCACTGAATAAATGGATAAATGTCTCTAAAATCCACTGAATGTCGAATGTAATCACTGAGTTTTTACTAGAATGTCTAAATACTATTCAACTTGTTGCATTCGATATTATTGACCTCCCACACGAGCTCAGCACGCTTCTCAAGTTGAGCAAGAATATGATTGTGCACGTAGCGTTAGCCAAAAAATACAATTCAAATTGAATTCAACTTAATTATCTGAGTTCACTTTGAATTGTCTAAAAATACTTAGTGATCTAATTGTAGACTGAATTGGTGAATGTTTCTGTTAATTAAGAATTCCACTAACACTACTGATTGACTCAAAAAAGATAGATTTTTGAGAAAGCAATTAGAATGGCGGCGGGAATTTCATTAATCAAAAGGGACACTGAAAATCAGTCAAATGAGTGACTAGATTGAGAATTATTGATTATTAGGTCGATTGATTATCGACCTAGTCTCAAGATGGCCGCTAAAGTTCCTGTCAGCTGGCAATTCAAACGTGAGAATTAATTAATTCTTAACACCAGCAGTTTTATTTTATTTTCGAACAAAATATTTTTTCAGGCAATGGATTACCGGAGATTACCATAAAAGAGATTAATTAACAATTATAATTGTTATTATCAAATCATAATTAATTATAACAATAACAGTTCATTTTTTAACAAAATATTTTTTCTGGCAATGAAATACCGGAGATTTCGATAGAAGATATTTATTATTGAACCAACTAAATAAGTCTTTTATTGAATTATAATTTTTAAGAAAAACAGTACAATTAATACATTTTTATTTATGGCTAGTAATTAAACTTATTATTTGTACTCGTTCTTCGTGACATGACAATGGTGCTGTTAATGATGCTTTATTACCAGGATACTTGAATAATTTAAATTCACTAATCTTTTCACGCTATGAACTTGTGTTACGAAAATGTTGTATAGTTATGTTACTTCAAAATCTAGATGTTAGTAAAGGATTATGTAATGGTACACGTTTAATGATTATAAAATTTGAAAAAAATATTCTTGAGTGCAAAATATTAAATGGCGATAAATCGGGCGAAACAGTATTTATCAGTCAGATAACATTATATTGTGAAAATATTCATCCATTCAATTCTATCAAAAAGACGAAAAACAAAAAAAATGAACTCTAATTTTGATGAATAAACTAGCAGATTCCCGCGACTTCGTCCGCGTAATGTTTAGAATTACGCTCCATAATGGAAGATTGATCAAAAATGTTTTGAATAGTAATTACATAATACAAATTTGCTAATTGAGATACGCATTGCGCTGTGATAGTCTTAAAAGCGAAGTAATGAATTTGTAAGCATTGATAAAGAACAACAAACATGTCACATTATTTTCTCAAATACTCTTAGTTCATGAGTCTCTGTACAATTATTTAATGACAATTTATCATTATACGCTAATAAAGAACTTTTTTATTAGAATCATAATCATTTTATCTATCATTATTAGAATCAGCATAGTTTTGTTCTTGATCAGTATGAGCACTTTTTGCATTGAAGTTGTTTTTTTGTACCAACATATCTGTTCAATTTTGTTCTAAACAATTATATAATCGCACGAATAAATCGTCAGTTGTTAAAATATTATTAAAATGTTGCTCCCATAGTTTCAATAAATTTTGATTTTTAATCGTATACTTTGAAGAACATTTTCTATTGAGTGAATTTCCCATTCGATAAGTAGTTGAATTAAATGTGAATCTGATTGACAGCTTTCATTTCTATCCATAAATATATATAACTAGTAATCTAAAGTTTTTTAAATGAAAAATTTTATAATTACATTGTAGTATTTGTGAAATTCCATATCTCCGGTTTTCGTCCTAATTTTTATAATAGTTGGGCATTATAGGATTCGCAGTAATTATTTGTACGCATGAGTTAATTGTAAACCGAAAAATTGGCAGGTTTTTCTCTCTTTATCTATTGCTTTGTATAGTACTTGTGAAATCTAGTAAATGTCGTTTAAACTTCAATTGGTGTAGCTGCATACACTTTTTCAGAAAAAGATTGTATATCTTGGCATGGTAATAGCGCTAATACACAATAACCTCGTAACAACTGCTTTACATCCTATGATTCAACAGCTTTTCTAAGAATGCGATATTTTTTTGCCTTTCTTATAAGTGCCTACAATTAAGAATAGATTAAAATTATTATTTTTTTTTTAGAAACATAAAAATGTTTTGTGGATTTTTTTTATATTCACATGCGTGTGATGGAAGTAACACCCTACTAAGGTTACTCCTGTAAAAGCTCTTTTAGCTGCCTTTCGCAATGACATTTCAAAATCAGTAGAAATTGTAGTTGGTTTTAAATGAGGAGCGATATTTTTGAGCTCATGAAAAATTTGAAGATAGGAATCTTCCATTTTTCTTGACCTTAATGCCCATAAAAAAGCATATGCCTGTAAACCAAAAATAAGTATCATTAATATTGTTTGTAAAAAAATATTTTTCAAATATTCAAGTTATCTCTAATTATTTCCCTAACATGATATCTTGCCATGTTTTTTGGTACAACCTTAAAAGTGGCGTCAATGAATAATGATGTACTCTTTGACAGAGTATTAATAAAATCGCTGTCATAGAATATTATTGACTGTGACTTCACATCAGTTTTGAGAAACTTTACACATAACCTTCCTTCTCCATAGTCCAATAAACTATTCCAACGATTTTCTTGCAAAATGAAAAAATATTCATTCAAAGACGATGGATTTGATGGTACAAGTTCTTTTCTTCACTCTTGCATTTTACGCCGTATACTGTTGTACGCTATACTGTTATACGTGTACCTTTATACTTGAAAGTTACACGTATAGCAGCATTTTTGAACCTGCAATTCATATAATATGTTGAAAAAGAATGATTTAAAAACATGAAATGTATAACATATGCATTTGTACAAATACAAGATAGGTTAATACTTACCACTCTCTACATTCATCATAAATTTGTTTATAAGAATCAGAACGTACAGTAACGGCTTTTTTTTAATGCTTTTTTTAATAATGATTCTTCTTTTGCAAAAAAAATTTTATCATGATTGTGCTTAAGATACTTTTTTGAAATAATTAATTTGTTATCCCATGTTATCTTCCCTTGAACAGGATATTTCACAGTTCTATTACCTTTACACATCTAAAAAATAAAAGCAATGCTAGAAATGAAAATTCGTTATTGAAAAATAACTTAAAATAATCTATGATTTTATATTATTTTTTAAACAAGAAAATTTCTAAAAAAGTTCGATTATTAAAATATTGTTGTAAATAAATATACATTTATTAGAAACTTTTCAGAATAGAATGCCAAAATATTTTATTCAATTGGTGCCATTTTCCATGGTTTTGTTAATGTTATACTCGAAATCATCAAAAATAAGATTATCCTTATCATTTTCTAAACTATTCGCGCTATTTTCTTTATTATAATCACTATTAAACATTTTTTAATTTTTTCAGTCTTCGAAAGATACTGGAATCACGCGATGAGTGCATGAATAAACATGAATAAGAAAAATGATTGTAGTGATTTTAATTCATCTACGTGTACTCATGAGAATTATATATTTTTCTTATCTAGTACTAGTCGAAACGGCAAGAGGTATGTAAATAAAAGTTTCGTGATCTTTTATAATTCACTTATAAAGCTAATTATCAATATTCATAGTAATTTTCATATATTTTTGAGATTGAAATTTTTTATTAAAATGTATCATCATCATAACGCCATTATAACAGTTTTACAACAAAAATTGCTATTATAAATATTTTCAATGCCGAAGAAGAGGCGAAAGAAAGCTGTACCTTGTCTGAGGGTTGATCAAACCGAGAGGTGAATTTAGAATTACAACAAAATGTCTTGAACATAAGCATGCTGAATATCCTTATGCTGAAGAGATTTAATCATTTTACCAAAAATTAAAGAAACGTGTAGTAACTACAACACAGCTATTTCAAGGAATATATGAAGAACTGAAACTACTGTGACTACATTTTTTTAGTCATTTTTTCGTGAAAGGATTGGTATTACAATCCAAGACCATAGGGATGATACGGCAGAAATTTCAGTATTAATTTTCAAACCGCCATATCAGTGGAAATATTTATCTGAAAGATATGAACGCATAAATTCGTGGCTGACACGGAATTGTCATGGCATTCCATGGAAATCTGGAATAATACTGTAAAATATGTACATATTGCCGTCTACGAATCATTTGACTAACGACAGTTTGTTAGTTGACGACGATTCCTTGACAATTAGTTCTATTGATTTGATTTAATAAACGTTTTCATTCTTTTATAATTTTCTTGAAGTCATTATTTCGACATATTTTATATGTCTCAGCTTCTCATTTTCTGACAGAGCTTCGAACAATACCAGTCTGCCGTAGTCAGGCTGAGATTCTCGCGGCTCGTACGCAGATAGCGGTCATCCTTGGTTCTCTCCGAATCCTGAGATGACTGTAAACAATGACTGAACGGATGCAGCCCCTGCTTACCCTCAAACCTGACGGAGTCGGGTGTCTGTAGGATAATCCCGTCTGGTCAGGCCTCAGGTGAGTCGGAGCCCTAAGATCCCTGGCCAGATACACTTGACGAATCGCAAGATGAAATAATAGTAAAAATGGTAATAATAATTTAAATGAACAAAATTTAAATGTTGCAAGAAATGTCCGAATCCTTCAATTGAAACGGTCTCTCTTCTTTCAGTTGCGAGTTCTCTTTCTTTTGCAAAACCAGGTATATTTGACGGATCTCAGATGTGGGAAAGTTATTCACGTCAATTTGAGACTGTCGCAGAATTACATAATACGACCGATGAGGTTAAGGCATCAATTTTAGTGTCCTGTTCAGAGGATAAAGCACAAAATATTTTAGAAGATTTGAGTAAAAAAGATTTAAAAAATTTTAAAACATTTATAGAATGCTTAGAATATCGTTTCGGTGAATCGCAATACGCTCAGCCTCATTTTAACCGTTCTCAATCGAAAAAACAAGTTGCTAATGAAAGTATTTCTGATTATTCTGAAGAAATTAATAAATCAGTTAAATATACATTTTCTTCAGTCTCATTTTGTGATTGAAAAAAAATAGCTGGACTTCAATTTATTTCTGGATTAAGCAATGCTAGATTGCAATTTTCTCTTCGAATGGATAGAATTAAATCATTACAACAAGCAACTCAGCGTGCACTCGAATCTAGAGTAGCGGTAGATACTCGGCGCCAAGTGCACATTCACCTTTTCCCTCTCTCTCTCTCTTTCTCACTAGCGCGCTCTTTCCTCCATGAGCGCCGAGGCTACCGACTACTCTATACACGAAAAATTTTGTGTGACGTCATCAACGCATCTTTATATGCAAATATCTTTATAATTGCTACATATTATGATTTCATATTTAATAGGTAGTTATCTTATATCATGAGCTTCCAATTAAACGTTAAACGAGAATTTTTTATTAATTATTAACGGAGTTATAAATAAGCCACGCCCCTAACAGCGATATTTCTGCTATTCAAGATTTTTTCGCTCGCTGTTTCACTCTACTTAATCGAGCGCTCTATCATGTGTTCTCTCTTACTGAATGTGTCTTTTGTCACTTTCTTTCACATTGGGCTCCCTACAGTGCCCTCTTTCTTGCGTTATGTATTGTTATCACTCTCTTTCACGTTAACCTCGTAATATTTCCTTCTCTCTTGCCTAACCAAGAGACATCTATGTTCTGAATAATAAAAAATGTTTCCCGCGTGTTGTATATCGATTTGAATAAACTTTTTTAGGAATTATTGGTAGAGAAAAGTATTAAATGATCAATAAAAAATAAGTGTTTGTCGAATAATAACAACAAAAGAATATGATTAAAAAAAGTAAGCAGTGTTTCCCGCGTGTTGCATATCGATTTTAATAGATTTCATTTGGAATCATGGATAAAATGATGTTCTAGATGATTGAAAGAAAAAACAATTATAATAAATATCCAAAATTGTTATAAATTTTGTGGTTGGCTTCAAATAATGTCTTATTGCAATATCATATTTTTCACTATTTTCATAAGACATTATTTCATTGAACTTTTTTCTATTTCAGAAAAATAAAAAACTGGCTTGGCAAAGTAATAAAAGAGCAGAAAATGCACATATGTAGCATAGGAACTACCTAAAATTGTTATAAATTTTGTGATTGGCTTTAAATAATGTTTTATTGAAATATCATATTTTTCACTCTTTCTATAAGACATTATTTTGTTGAACTTTTTTCTATTTCAGAAAAATAAAAAACTGGCTTGGCAGAGTAATAAAAGAGCAGAAAATACACCTATGTAGCATAGGAACTACCTAAAATTGTTATAAATTTTTAAATTTTCGAAATAAATAAAAATAAAAATTAAATAATTTTTAACGTTGTCGTCTTGAGACAGCACGCTCGGAGAGCGCGCGTTGTTTCTAGTAACCTTATTGAACAAAAAAATTAATTTGGAAGAAGAAAATTTTTTTGGAAGTTTGGTGACTGTCTTCAAAATTCCAATTCGTCACCAAACTTCCATTTTGATCGCACGAAATGTTACCGAACTTTCACTTGCACGTATATATACTACTATATAAATTTCTGGTGTCTATCTGTCTGTTCGGGGTAATCTCCAAAACGGTTAATTCGATTGCGACCAAATTCAACAGATATGTAGAGGGGGTTGTTCGGAAAGTTATATGCTACTTTTTGTTAATGTGAATTGTTTATAACAATTAAATTTGTTATAAACAATTGAAAACAGGATTTATTCAATTTGAGATCTTTCAGCGGGAAATTTTTTCTTTTACTGAAACAATGTTATCCACTGTGTAAAATGAATATAAACATACTTCTTTTGTTCGTAACATACCATTTGTTGTAAAAGAACAGAAATTGAGTTTTACGATCATTTCCTTTCATCATCAGTAAGAGTGCTCCTGTAACTGGAGGAGTTACCCAGTGAACACAGAATGTAAATGTGACAGTCACCAAAATTTCATATCAATACTATTCGTTTTAATCTTCAATATCCGTTATTAGGTAAAAAATTAAATAACTAATTGTGATAAATCTATTTTTTGTAACAAATTTTGATATTTCCTCAGTTATTCTGCTCCTTTTAGATTCTTGAAGAACAGAACTTATTATATTATATGGTTTTCAACCGTATATCCGACATTTATCGTATTTTTCTGTTACTTTTCTTTTTTTTGTAGATTTCAAAATTATTTTGGAAGTTTGATGACTGTCACCAAACTTCCATAATCGTTGTAGGGAAGTTTGGTGACAGTCACCAAAATTCCAATTCGTCACCAAACTTCCACTTTGGTCGCACAAAATGTTACCAAACGTCCACTTGCATGTATATATATATATGTATATATACTTCTACTGTTATACAAGAGGAACGCTTCAACTTCATAGCTATAGATATTATATCAACGTTACTATGTCAGTAACGCGGATGATTTGGTGATGTGAACTTACAAGTTTGTCCCCTACTAAAAATTGCTCCAACGCGCCTAAAAAAGTTTTCACTTCAAAAAGAAATGAAATCCGCACAAAACAGGCATCTTGGAATGCCTATAAAAACTGGCGCCAAGTCCACATTCAAGTAAAATTAGTATAAATGGAGAAAAGGTAAGATCAAAAAAACATGTGAAATCAAGTAAAACGCCAAGTTAGCTGCGTCTTTTTTCATAATTTTTTCGAACTAGCAATGTACTATTGACTTATAAAATTTCAGTTAATTTTGAAGTACAAAAAAAAAAATCTTCAAAACCAAAAAACTATGGAACTTGGCCCAATTTTGTCTTTAAAGTCTGCCCAATTCAGTTTCAAATGTTCTTATGTACGAACTATAATATATGGAACTGTTGGAAGAATTTTAAAAATTGGGCCAAGTTCCATAGTTTTTTGGTTTTGAAGATTTTTTTTTTTGTACTTCAAAATTAACTGAAATTTTATAAGTCAATAGTACATTGCTAGTTCGAAAAAATTATGAAAAAAGACGCAGCTAACTTGGCGTTTTACTTGATTTCACATGTTTTTTTGATCTTACCTTTTCTCCATTTATACTAATTTTACTTGAATGTGGACTTGGCGCCAGTTTTTACAGGCATTCCAAGATGCCTGTTTTGTGCGGATTTATGTCTGCTGAAAAATTATTTTTCAAAAACAGAAATAAAAATTATTTTAATAATTTTCGTAATAATGATAAATCTTTTTCTAATACTCTTAAAAGAACTTTTGGACAATCTAACCAAGCTTTTTTAGGAGAAATTCAATGATGGAATTGTGGACCAAAAGGTCATACAAAAAGAGATTGTAAAGGAAATTCTTCTTCCATTAATAATAATAATTCTTCAACTGATGGTGCATCCAAAAAAAATTTTCGTCAAAATTAAATATAAATTTAGTAAGTTTATCTAAATCTCTTAAGATTTTCGATTTTGATTATTCATTCAGACCTTTGTCGACTCTTGAAGGTGAAATTAATCGAATAAAATGTAAAATGTTAGTTGATACTGCTGCTGATATAACTGTAGTTAATTTTTCACTTTCAACTAGAAAAATAAATGAATGAAATTGTTCTTTTCTCTCTATTTTTACAGTTTTAGGTACTAAATTGGATTTTGATTTTATTGAGATCGTAGAAATTAAAATTTCTAATATTCAAATTAATTTAGAAATTTTTTATTCAGCCGAATTCATTTTGAGTGTATTCTTGGTATAGATGTCTTGATCAAATTAAGATTATTTTATGAATTCAAAAATTTGCTTCATAAAAAATTTCCTAATGACAGTAAAACTGTTTTTTTTTTTTTTTTAATTTTCGTTTATTTATTGTCGCATCAACCGTGAGGTCATTAGCGACTACGAGTTTCTGATTACATTACAGGCACGATATATCTGATTTTTTTTCTTTTGAATATTTTTATATAGATTTTAAGAGTTTAGAGTCCTTTAAGAGCTTAAAAACTTCGTTTATCAAGTCTGCGTCGTTGAGTAGAACTGAGATATCGCTCGGGAGGTTTCTTCTGTGTGCTTCTGTGTGCTTGCATTCAATTAGTAGGTGGCGTACTGTTAATGGTTGACAGCATTGTGTGCATAGATGATCTGGTGATTTGGAGCATAAATTACTGTGCGTTAGCCGCGTGTGGCCAATTCTTAGCCTGGTCAAGATACATTGCAACCTTCTGTCGTAGACTACAGGAGCCTGACTCCAGACATTCTGTCTGACTTGGTGTAGTTTGGAGCTACTGTTGGTCCATCTGACGTTCCATTTACACCAGATATATTTATCTATGACTTTCTTGAGGTCTTCTCTTGTTGTGTATACCTTCTTGTCGCATGTTCCTGCTTGTGCGGCTTTTTTTGCTGCTGTATCTGCTTTTTCGTTGCCAGCAATGCCTTGGTGTGACGGAATCCATGCTAAGCATATTTGTTTGCCATGACAGGAGGCTTTTTGGAGCTTTAATTGGATATCTTGGATTATAACGTTTTGATTATTGTGGTTTTTTATAGCATCTAAGGTTGATTTAGAGTCTGAAAATATTATTGTTCTGTGTAGGTTTAGCTGCTGGCTTAGGTCGATTGCCCTGTCGATGGCATAGGCTTCACAAGAGAAGATGCTGAATGAACCTGGTAACTTGTAGAGGAACTCTTTATCTTCGAATATGACCGCACAGCCCTTGTTTTCCATTGTTATAGAACCATCAGTGTACATGTGCTTGTAGTTTCTGTATTTTTCAGATAATTCATTAAACAGACTTTTATATATAGCATTCGAGGTCATTTCTTTGCCAAAGGCCGCTTCGTATATGTGCAGGTCGACTTTAGCACATAGTTTTTCCCAGGGCGGGATGGGGTGCTGGTGGCGGCGTGCTACGATTCTGTTATATAGTAGTTGATCTTGCTTCGTTTTTTTTACTCTGTAAGCCAGAGGTTGAGGTAATTGGGGATGGATGCTTATTTTTTTTTCGGTACTGGTCATTTTGGTGGCTCCTGACTGTATGGGATTGTTGATGAGGCTCGTGCTTGATGCTGTAAATTTTAATTCCAGGGCAACTCTCCTTAAATCCATTGGAGGCTCGTGTCCTTCTACCAAGATACTCGACACTGGGCTGCTACGGAAGGCACCAATGGCTAGTCTTACTCCAGTGGATTGTACTGAGTCAAGACACTTTAAAGCACTTTTATTTGCCGATCCATAAATTGTAGTACCGTAGTCTAGCTTAGATCTGATAATTGCTCTGTAGGTATTCATTAGGATATCTTTTGATGCTCTCCAGTTTATTGAGCTTAGAGCTTTCAACGCGTTGATGCGTTGTGTGCATTGGACCAGTGTTTTTTTAATGTGTCCCTTCCATGATAATTTGGAGTCGATGTGTAAGCCTAGTATTCTAATTTCTTTGGATTGATGGAGTTCTTTGTTACCTAGGTAGAGTTTGGTATCGCCCCTTTCATTGCTTCTTTTGTGGCAGACTAAATATTCTGATTTGGAGGTTGAGAACTTGAATCCTGTTGTGTTGCAGATATCTGTTAGTTTATTTAGCCCTTGTTGGAGAATCTTAATGGTTGTTTTTTCGTTACCTGAGCATACCAGAGTGATATCGTCAGCGAATGCTCTGATTTTTATCGGCTTTGGTAGTTCAGTGAGCAAGTGGTTTATAGCTACTAAGAACAATGTGACACTTATAACTGACCCTTGAGGAACTTCGTTATTTAGTTTCTTTTTTTCTGAGAGATCACTACCAATTCTCACCTGCATCGTCCTGTCTTCTAGGAAGTTTTTGATGAAGTGGAGGATATTGCCTTTGATCCCCAGTTGCAGAAGAATCTTGATTATGCGGTGTCTCCATACCGTGTCATATGCTTTCTCAAGGTCTAGGGATACAATGGTACAGTATTGGTTATTAGCGAAGGCTTCGCATATGTCAGCATGTAGGTTGTTGAGATGATCACTTGTGGATCTGAATTGTCGGAAGCCATACTGCGAGCTAGAGAACCAGTTGATATTTTCTAGGTACCATTTCAGTCTGCGATTGATCATTTTTTCCAGAAGTTTACAGAGATTGCAAGTCAGTGAGATGGGCCTGTAGTTACCTGCTTCAGTGTTGTCTTTGTTAGGTTTAGCTAAGGGGATTACTATTGCATGTTTCCAAATCGTCGGGAATTGATGAGATTGTCAGATGGAATTGTATAAGTTTAGAAGATATTCTAGGCCGGTGTTGCTCAGGTTTTTTATCAAGGCGACTGGGATATTGTCAGGTCCTGGGCTGGAGATTTTGCTGGCATCGAGAGCAACCATAAGCTCTGTCATTAAGAATGGCTCGTTTAGAAGTGCTGGAGACTGAGGGGAGCCCTCTGGAGAAGGAATTGCAGCTGCATCTAGCTCTAAGGTTTCTTCATTAGTCTGTTTGTAATTTAAGAACTCTGGTGTATAATTGTTGTCACTGGAATTTTCTGCAACTGTGTGGGCAAGCATGTTAATAATTTCTTCTTTTGATGAGGTAAGTACTCCGCTGGAGTTTTCAATTGAGTAGGGAACCCATGATGACCTGCTGCCTTGGAATCGTTTGTAGAATTTCCAGAAGGAGTTTAGCGATGTGTGGTGATTAAACGATTGTAATAGGTGTTGCCATGAGCTTCTGCAGCTTTGTTTTATTACTTGTCTGGCTTTAGCTCTTTTTTCATTGTGTATAATTTTGTATTCATCTGTTTTGTGTTTTTTGTATTTGTTGAACGCTTTCTTCTTTTCTCTGATGGCTATTTCACATTCTTTATTCCACCAAGGTACCACCTTTTTTCTCTTATTTTGTTGTTTTATGACTGACTTAGGGATACAGTGCTCAGCTGCATTGAGTATTATGTTCATAAATTTATCTAATGCTTCATCAATTGGATTGTTTTGAATATTTGATGGATCAGGTAGTTCTTTTATATGCTCATTGGTTATACTGTTATATTTTGCCCAGTTAGCCTTTTTCAGGTTCCATCTACTCATACTGTCTGCCAGCGGATGGTTGCTGCTATCATTTTTTATGTTGATTAGTATCGGATAGTGATCACTGTCATACAGATCATTTAATGTATTCCACTGAGTGTCAGCTATTATAGCTGTGCTGCAGAGGAATAAATCTATTGCCGATTCATTTCCTGAGCTCACTGTAAAGTGTGTTGGCCTTCCATCGTTTAATAGGGAATTGTCAGGGGTATCCAGGAACGTTTCTATGATCTTGCCTCTATTATCAGTGTGTGATGATCCCCACAAGAGGTTATGACTATTGAAGTCACCGACAAGTATAAAGGGTTTGGGTAGCTGGTTTGTTAGATTGGTGAGGTCTTCTGTAGTTATATCGTACTTTCTTGACTGGTAAACATTACATATGCATAGATTATGCGGAATCTTGATGCTGATCGCTATGGCCTCGAGACTGGATTGGAGGGATACTTCAGTAGCTTGGATGTTGTTTTGAACTAGAATTGCGACTCCTCCACTGGCGTTTACGCAGTCTGATCGGTTATTTTGATATAGTTGATATCCCTTGGCTACACCTATTTGATTTTCTTTAAAGTTAGTTTCTTGCAAGCATATTACATCAGGTTGGAATTTACTTAGTAAAAGTTTCAGATATTGAAATCTGGTGTAGAAACCATTTATATTCCATTGAATTATGTCGAAGCTGTTTGATAGATTTGTTGTATTGCTGGCCATTTCTGCGTTATATTATTATTAAGGTAGCTCAGGGTACAGGTCTGTGCTAGATTCTGACGCGCAGGATTCATGCGAGGATTCTGTGTCTAATTCTTCTAATGATACTCCCATTTTTTTATGAGACGCGTGAATCGATTTTTTGCACTTCTATTGTTTAGTTTAGTACGTAGCTCGGTTATCATTTCAGTTAGTTTGTACGTGTCGTCTGTGAAATCTTTCGCTAGTTCCAAGGGGTTATCGTGGTAGAATGCTATTTCTAGGAAGTTTGTGAGCTGGATGAAGTTTAGTGGATATTTACCTGCATTGGATTGGATTTCTTTCTCTATTTCTGGTATGTAAAGCGTACTATGATTATTCCTCTTTGTTTTAAGTTTCTTTTTTTTTTGTTTGACTTCTGGAATAGGATGCATTGCTGTTGGGTTCTTTGGTGGTTGAGTGGAGTGGCTTATGACTGAACCTGGAGTAGATGAATCAGTGTCTGAGCGGCCTCTTTTGATTGGAGAATTTGGTGTTGCAATTGCTGGTTTTGGAGATGTTATATTGTCTTGAGATATCGCTGGTGGGGGCATTCGTATGTTATCTGGGATTTCATGTATAGGTGTAGTTTCATTGCTGGGTGGTAGTACTGGAGGTTGTTGACAAGTCTTGGTAACAGCTGGTTGAGAGCCCATGTTCGACTGTGTTGATTCGTCGTTGCTATTTGGACAGTTTTTTGCTTGATGACCATTTTCTTTGCAAAGGAAACATGCCATTGAATCGCTCGACAGGTAGATCCAGTTTGTTACTCCATCGAAGGTTACTTGAATAGAGCCGGGCAATTTATCGAGGTCCTCAGGCTTAATTAACATTTGGCGACGAAGACTGAAGCAGTTCACATATTTGTGTTTATCTAGTCCAGCTCTGAGAAAGGTGATATCGGACACTGGTTTGATGTTGTACTCAGTTGTCAGTACTCGTACTATTTCCTCGTTGAGAATGAATGGATGAATATTCGATATTATTATTCTTTTATTCCTTGAAAACAGTGGGTTAATACTAAGCCTTGTGTTGTTGATTATTATATACTTGTGTGTGTCGATGAGTTCGTTTGCTAATTCTTTACTTCCTACGTAAATGCATATCCTGTTGTTCGAAATTCTTGAGATGAAACGGATTTCAGCTGGACCGATGATATCTGCGATGGCTTTAGCGTATTCTTCGATTTGTACTTGATCGATTGCATTGATGACGATTGCTTGTTCTTTTTTGGGGTAGCTGATTGAGTTTGTTACGGTAGCAAAACTTCTTCTGGGTGTTGACATTGTGAAGATTGTTCTTCACGACCAGACAGTCCCTCCACCGAGGAGAGGAACTACCTCCCTTGAGTGGTAGACAGTGATTTAGATGTAAACTCACTAATGTAAGTGTGGGTAACTGATCGCACTTTTGACACTAATAAGGCACTCGTTGAAACGCGAAGGCACAACCGTTCCCTTCGAGCGTCCGATTAGTACTGAAACTGTTTTTATAGATGAAATTATTTGTGAAATTGATGTCCTTCTTGAATTTGAATTCTATACATTTATTTGAAAAATCTTTTATATCATTAGATAAAGCAAATCAATTGCGTTAAAAAAAATTATTATTAAAATACATAGGTATTTGTTCTAGAAGAATCTTTTGATAATAGACAGTGTAAAATTTTGGAACGTAGAATTAATGTTGGTATTTATCTCCCAATTAAACAAACTCCTCATCGTATTCCTTTACATTATGGAGATAAAGTTGATGCTGTTAAACCTTGTGATAGTTCTTGGGCTTTTTCAGTTATTCTTGTTCCTAAAAAAGGTGGTGAAATTAGATTTTGTGTAGATTATCGAAAATTAAATGATGTTACCATAAGAGATTGTAGTCCTATTCCTCATCAAGAAGATATTTCGAATATGGTTCTTGGTGCTCAATGGTTTTTAACTATTGATTTAAAAAGTGATTATTGGCAATTTGAAGTTGCTCCGGAAAATCGTGATAAAACAGGTTTTTATATTGGAAGTGAACTTTGGCAATTTAAAGTTCTTCCTTTTGATTTATGTAATACTCCTGTCACCTTTGTAAAACTTATGAATATAATTTTACATGGTCTTCTTGAAAAAATTCGTTTAGTGTATCTTAATGATATCATTATCTTTAGTAAAAGTCTTGATGATCATTTTCTTACCTTCAAATTGGTTTTAAAAGACTTTTACATTCTAATCTCAAAATTAATACTAAAAAGTATATATTTTTTTAAAAAGAGGTTGTCTTTTTAAGTCATACTGTTTCTGGTGAAGGTTTAAAGAGTTGTCCTGAAAAGAATTCTGCTATTATAAATTGGCCTGTTCCTAAAAATAAATCTGAACTTAGAAGTTTTCTTGGACTTTGCTCGTATTACAGAAAATTTAATGAAGATTTTGCTACTTTAACAAAATCTCTTTATTTAATGAGGGAAGAGAAAAAAAATTTTATTTGGGATAATATAGATCTTCAAACTTTTCAGAAATTGAAACAAATTTTAACTACTACACCTATTTTAGGTTATCCTGATCCTTATTTCCCATTTATTCTTCACACTGATGCTTCTAATGTTGGTATTGGAGCAGTTCTATCTCGGAAAATTTCAGTTAACAAAAATAATGAAATTATTTATCAAGAAAAAGTTGTTGCTTATTTTAGTAAAACTTTGAATAACCGTGAACGATATGGTGTCCTTGAGCGTTCTTGTGGAGTTACTCTAGGATATACACGGTTGGAGCGTTTGTGTTGATAACCTTTTCTTCATCAATGGCCAAAATAACGTTAAGTTAGACACTAAGTGTCCATGGTATCCTATGAAGTTCTGATAGTTGACTAGTCCATTAATCTTACGTTGTTGGAAATTCTTTGCAAGGTAAATAATTTTTAATTATTATTTTTGTGATTGTCAGAGTCTAATTTTATGAATAGAATGCGTAGTCGATTATTCATTTGGAGAAATGTACTCCAAGAAGTGAGACCATTCAATTAAATAAAAAAAAGAAATTTGAATTCAAATTAAGAATTTGTTATTAACTTCAATGCTGCAGTAATTTTTTGAAAAATCTGTTTAGATCTTCCTTTTTTAAACCTCCCAGATTCTTGGCATTTCCAGCTCTTTTGGATTTTCGTTCTTTACTTCCCGAATTCTTTTCGATGGAAAAATAGAAGAAAATTGAAGTTTTAAATTCTGACTGACGAACTCTTAGTGTTTAAGATTTTTTTTGTAGAATTCTCTACAAAAAAGTCCGCGACAGCGCCTGTCTATCGTAGACAGGTAAAAATGTACAGCACTGCGGAGGCGCGCT